CATATGCTAAGACGAAAAGAAGGAAGAGGAATAAGAGAAACTATTAGAAGGAAAACGAAAAGGACTAAAAGAGAAACTATAAGAATAAGACGAAACGTAAACGGCCTTACTACGATATAGTCACTTGAAAAGAAGGAAAAGGAAACGCAAAACAGACTTTGTCCCTTATAGATGCTTGAAATATAGACGCTAACAAAATAAACCCTTTGATTATAAGTTATATAACCCTTTGAATATACTATATTGTAAACTATATACTATATTGTATATACTATAGATACTATATATAGCCCATAGACTAGCAGCCACTTATAGGGCCAGGCCCTGGCCCTATTTGTGCTATGTCTATGCTAACTAGCATGAACACGACCATGATTAGGATTGCGTTCATGGTTTTTCCGAACACGACCTGGAACTTAGCGCCAGTGGCACCCGGCGCCCATTCCTATCAGATGAGATGATGATATGAGTCAAGTTTCAGACTTCCATGGGCCTCACTCCACCACTCTCCACATGCACAAAAGACAAAAAATATGGCAGCGTATCTTCCCATGTTCTAGAGGAAGATTCTTTCCTTTTTTTTTTAAAAAAAACAGGGCGCCGGCCTTGAGATATCATCATTAAACTGACCGTGTAATCCAAATACAAGACTCGAACACACAACCAACGGCCCTGCAGGCAAACACCTAACCATAAGGCTAAGTGGGCTGGGGCACTGGGCCCGTGTTTTGAGGGGGAAAAAAAAAAGGAAAGTGAAGCCCCAAGATGAGCACTTCACCCCACCCCAGCGCGGAGATCCGTGTGGGCCCGTGTTCTGAGAGGTGAAAAAAATAAAAATAAAAAAAAGGAAAGTGAAGCCCCAAGATGAGCACTTCACCCCACCCCAGCACGGAGATCCCGCGACTGGGTGTGCCCAACCACACTCACCCCTACGCAGCCACACTGCGCATAGTACAAACTGACCGGCCCTAGGTAGTTCAGAATTATTTCTGTTTCTATTTTTTACTCAATCTGCTTCCAGTGGAGTTCGACCTCAGGAGCATGGTCCCATTAGCAAAGAGGGTTGGATAAAAATCCTGAATCTGGACGTGTTTTATGCAGAGATGTGGAAAAGCATTTCAATCTCGACATTCTGCACCTTTCCACAAACAAGTCCAGATTCAGTTGTTCAATCCAATCCTCTTTGCTAGTGGGACCTCGCCCCAGGTCTCTATTTCAACAATTCAGGGGTGTAGCAACTGACGTAGGCCAGTCGGTGAAGATTCATTTCTCATTATTTTATTTTTATTTTTTGGGGAAATTCATTCTCATTATCAACCGAGGCGTTCACAAGGAAACGTACAGCACGACGACGTAGCAAAGGGGAAAAAAAAAAGGCCAAAAAAACAAATCCCAAAAAAAACAAAAAATCTGTGTGATTCAAATCACAGAACGGTCTCACCAGAAAAAGATGCCAGAAAGCAAAAAACAAATAAAAAAAATCAACGTACTGGCCAAAAAAAAAACAAAAAAAAAAAATCAAAAACACAACTCTCTAAGCCACTTGTATTCCCTGAATTGTAAGAGGTTACTTGGAAAAAAAAAAAAAAAAAAAAAAAAAAAAAAAAACTTTACGAATCCTGTTAACGACAGCTGTGAAGTTGTGTCCTCAACGGCATACCCTACTGTATTCACCAGAGTACAACGCCCGGTCATTATAGCTGTACCTGGACTGAAAGGTGCACCAAAGACAGCTTTAATGACCGGGCGTTTTGTTCGGTGAAGACAGTAGCCAACTGCTACAAGTTCAAATTTAAGGCTACTGATGGCCTCGTCCCCCTACTCACCAAATGTGCAAAATGAGAACGCTCTTACGCTAGAACATGGTAAGATACACCGCCATATTTTTTTTGATCATCTGTGCATATGGTGAGTGATGGAGCGAGACCTTAAATTTAAACCAAAAAAAAAAAAAAAAAAAAAAATCGGTGCTCCGTACGGAAACCAAAAAAAAGATCGGTGCTCCGTACGTACTGTCGAAACGGAAAAGGCACGAATGCATGTTGCCACAAAGAGTGGCAAGATGCATCCGTATTTTTTGTCTTCAATGCATATGGTGAGTGATGGAGCAAGGCCTTAAATTACAAACCAAAACCCAAAAAAAAAAAAGATCGGTGCTCCGCACGCGCTGTTACGTTAACCATTCTACAGTCTTCCGCTGAATACAACGTACGGTCATTATAGCTGAATTTAGACTGAAAGATGGTCCAAATTCAGCTATAATGACCGTGCGTTGTATTCGGGGGAAGACTGTAGGCGGCGTCGCCACACCACTGTCGAAACGGAAAGAGTACGAATGCATGCATGTTCCCACAAAGAGTGGCAAGATGCTTCCGTTACTATGACTAGTCAAAGTAAAGGGTGTATCTTGCCACTTTTCTGCGCAAGATGCACTCGTGCTTTCCACGTTTCCACAATGGTGTGGCACCACTCACCAAATCATCAAATAAAAAAAGAATTTTCCGCTAGAACATGGAAAGATACACGCACCATATTTTTGTGTCTTTTCCACATTTGGTGAGTTTTATCGCGAGACACTTTTTTTTTTTTTTTTTTTTTAAACCAGCCTCGGGTTGTGGTGAGACCCTAATTATATCATTCACAGAGAAATGCACAACGACGAACATCTTTTTTCCCCCCCCCCATTGATTGCCGCCTGACATGAGACTGGATTCAGTGGGACAACGCCTGGAAGTGCAAGATTGCCCCAGTAGACGATGAACCTGGACCTATCCTGGTCCAGGTACAGATGCGTGTTACATGCTCGTTCACGCGCTTTTTCTTTCTTTTGACGACCCTTCAGATAGATACTCTCGGGTGTGAATTTTCAAAAAAAAAAAAAAAAAAAAAAACACTATCGGGGAACTGACCGGTCCCAAGTCATTCAGAATTACTTTGTTGTGTTCATCTTCTGATTACATCTGGATTCGATCTGCGTATCTTTTATTTATAAAAAAAAAAAGATACCATCGGGGCTCTGTATTTCAATAGTTCCATTGGTGTACCAACTGATCTACGCCCGTTGGTTTCAGGCACTTCTCACAAGGGCAACCATGCAATTTCACTTCTGTGCAATCTCACAAGTATCATAAATCCACGTGATTTTTCTTTTTTTTAAAAGCACGTGAAAGTCAAATTTCACGTCAAAAGATCCGTTATTACCACAAGCATACTTTTTTTTTTTTGTTTCGAACGTAAATATCAAAAATCTTGTGCAAGGGACCATGCTTGCTAATCTTCTCGAATTTCCTTTAAAAAAAATAAAAAATCCTTCTCTGTGTCGTTCCACATATTAACTTTCAAGTCCTAAAAGGCGCAAACAACTTTCTTACAAGGGTAATCTCAAAATTTCACTGGCGATTAATTAACATTAATTAAATTAATCGAAATTAATTAAAATTAATTAAATTAATACAAACAGGGGACACTCGGGGCGTACTCTCACACAGGCACTTTCCTGAATGTATATGACCACAGTCAAGATTGGGTTATCTTTCAGCTACGGCCGTGCGTGGATGAATTGAACCGCGATTACGTCCAGAGCTCAGTAGAAAAGAGTCCTAGTGTAAGTAAGCCCTCACACTACCTTCTTCGCCCGTATACAACGTACGGTTAAATATAGCTGTATTTGGGGTATCTTTCAGTCCAAATACAGCAATATTGCCCGTACGTCGTATTCGGGCGAAGAAGCTAGTAGCACTTTCCCAAATGTATCTGTCCGCAACTACGGCCAGACTCGAATGAATCTGACCGCAATCCCGTCCACAGCTTACGAGAAAAAGGCCTACGATAGTGTTAGTATGCCCTCAAACATGAAATTCGATATTTCACTTGCGGCCGTAAGTCAGTACGCGGGACACGTGAACGGCCACAATTTTTATTATTATTATTACTATTTTTTTTTTTTAACGGCCACAAATTTCACCTCCAGCAGCATTCCCACAAGGGTACCCTCGCAGATAAGAGAGAGGCTCAACACTGGAAAACCTGCATAAACTACCAAGCCCATGCAGCTGAATGGTGTGTACACAGATTAAGGTTTATAGTCACACTGTGAATCGGAGCGCGAAGGCGGAAAAAGACAAAACAAAAAAGACAACAAAAAAGACGAAAGAAAAAAGACAACAAAAAAGGAAAGAAGGAAAGCTCCACCTGTTCATCACCTCTTACATACAAGGCCAGCCACGTTGAAGGGGCTGTGACAGACTGTGACAAAGTGTTTCCGTGTGAGTTTCACCGACTCATCAAGTGGCTGAAGCCATATATACATATGGCCTGCATATACTGCCCAGCCGATGCCGGTGAATGGTGTACACAGGTGAAAGTCTTTTTACCCATTTTAAAAAAAAAAAAAAAAAAAAAAAAAACCTGCATACACCCAGATCATGAGTTCGAATCCTAACGGATACAAAAATCTAAGGATTCGAACTCATGATCTGGGTACGTACACCCAGATCATGAGCTCAAATCCTCACTGATAAAAAAGGGAAAAAGAAAAAGAAGGGATATAACAAACCCCATTAGCCCAAGACCAAGCACACCCGCACACGCACACACACACACACACACACACACACACACGCGCGCGCGCTCGTGCGTCCATCCATTCCTCCTTACCCAAATCCGTACGTTCGTAGAGCTTTCACACTGCGTCGGAGCGCATTCGCGAAACAATAGAGAACAAGTTTGGCAGGGAGCAAAAAAAAAAAAAAAAAAAAAAAGTTGGGCAGGCAGCACACGCTCAAATCACTAAAGTGATACCACAACAAAGACAAACAAGATAAGTAATAGAAAACGTCAAGACCAAGACAGTGAAAAGGAGAGGGTCAGTCTGATCGAGAAATGAGAGGGAGAAAAACATAGAGCAAGACAGAGCGAGAAAGAGAAAGAGAAATAGAGAGACAGAGAGAGAGATAGAGAGAGAGGAAAAGAAGGGAGTGATGTAGGTGAAGCCAACTTACAGACAACTATCTCCGACATTTCCTCCACATTGATGAAACGACATCACTACTTGCATTTTCAGCCCGGCATCGTGCACCATCTTCACGAGATCCTGATAAGCTGTCCAACGATACTTATGCGGCTCTTGGCCCTCTACAATCCCCCACCACACGTCCACCATCACCCCCTCCACTCCCGCACTCTTGAGCGCCGTTAAGCTCGCTCGCAAAGCCCTCGGTCTCGTCAACGTGTTGTTCATATTAACGGTGTCTAACGGCAACATAATGTACACTGGCACACCGTTACCCGCCCCCCTACCGCCTGGCGATGCATGATCCCACACGTCGTGTATGCGCCAAGCATCCCTCCCTCTTCCTCTCTCTCTCTCCCTCTCCCTCATCGCCCCCACTTCCCCTGGACTTCGCTGTTCCCTCCTCTCCTGCTGCCGCTCCTCTGTCAATACGGGCAGCATCACGATCCCCGTACGTCGGCCAGCTCTGCTGCTGCTGCTGCTGGAAGACCGCGGCAACGACTTCTGCCGCGACCTTGATCCCAGCACGCCATCTACTTCCGCCGCCGCCGCCGCGCCGCCGCCACAACAGGTATCCCGACTACCAGCCGGTAATACATGACTCAGCAATTCTTCCGCCGTCACGTCGTCTCCCATCTGCTGCCGATCATCTTCGGTCCTCTCCTCCATCGGTCTGGCCGCGATCCCGACAGACATCGCGGAAGCCGGCGCCGCTGGGCACGTCCTCCTCTTCGAATTCCCCGTGCAGGCGGACAACGAGGAAGGGCGCCGCGAGGACGGCGGGGAGAGAGACACATTAGAAGCGGGCGACGAAGGGGCGGAAGGAAGGGGGGAAGAAGGCGGAGAAGAGGAGGGGGAGGAAGGCGGAGAAGAGGAGGGGGAAGAAGAAGAGGGGCCACGTGACGGCGGCATCCTTGGGAGTGGCGACGAGGATTCGCGGATCTTCGATGAATATTTTGTTGACGGATCCACCATCCAGACCTCGGGCCAGTATCCCATCTTCTGAAATCGACACCATAGCTCCTCTTCCGTGGACGGCGGAGAGACTAAGGGAGAAGAGAGGAAGAGGGGAGAAGGAGCCGAGGAGGAGGAGGAGGAGGAGGAGGAGGAGGAAGGAGAAGCAGAAGAACAAGAAGGAGGTAATGTTGATGACGCCGTGGAACGAACAGGGGGACGGGCTGGTAGCGGAGAGCTCGATCGAGGAGACGACAACGAGGAGGAGGGGGAGAAGGCGGAGTAGGAGGAGTAAGAGGAGGAGGAGGAGGAGGAGGAGGAGGAATAGCATGGAGAAGAAGAGGTTAATCTCTCCCAGTGATGTTTGTCAGCCCCAGTCAACACCGACTCCGGATAAACGATTGACGTGGCGGAGCAATCCGAGCGCCTTAGGCTACTCGGTGTCCGAGAGGTCGGCAATTTCGAGACGACTCTGTCAGATTTTTTGTCGGCGAGATCCATGGCATCGTTCTCACATCGCCGCCCAGCGATGATCACTCTCTCGTGTCGCCGACTGATTGACGGACTAATTAAGGTCTTATTAAGCTGCTGCTGGCGCGGAGAGGTAGCGGTGGAGATAGGAGGAGGGCATCGGTGAGACGGCGCTGTTGAGATCGGAGGGCATCGCTGAGGAGGAGGAGGAGGAGGGAGTCCGATGGCGACGGGGGTAGAAGTTGGGCCAACCTCCGAGGAGAGAGGAGAAGCAGTTACTGCAGCAGAAAACTGACGCGAGCAGTGGGCGGAAGAAGGGAGATGAGCAGGTGGGAGAGAAAGAGGAGGAGGAGGAGGAGGAGGAGGAGGAGGACACCAAGCAGACGGCGGCGAAGAAGAGAGAGCGGGAGGAGAGGCAGAACAAGAAGATGACGAACGTCGAGCCCAGTCTATGCGAGTTGTACAGGTTATCGCGCTACTACTGCTTCCTGCCGCAGCTTCTCCTAGCACTACTGCCGCTGCCGCCTTCGCTTTCTTCTTCTTGATAGCCATCGTGGACCCCTGAAATGGGGTCGGCGATGGCGGAAATGCAGCACCTATCTTCGCCCCACCTATGTTGCTAGTACCCTCTACCTTCTTCCTGTTCAAAATCGACACACGTGAACAGGAGGAAGACGACCTCACCGCAGAAGAAGAAGGAGCAAAACAAGAAGACGAAGCCCAACAAGAAGAGGAAGCACACCAAGAAGAAGAAGAAGAAGAACCACAAGAAGCACACCAAGAAGAAGAAGAAGAAGAACCACAAGAAGCACACCAAGAAGAAGAAGAAGAAGAAGAAAGAGAGATCGAAGATAATCCGACGGATATCCTGGTTCGACCGATGAGCGGGGTGAACGCACAGTCCAAGGAAGTTGACGCCAATCCCGATACGGATACGGATACGGGCTCAAGATTCCGATTGTTGTTCAATTCAGAGCCTCCCCCTCCCGCTCCCGCTCCCGCCGCCTTCCCCAGAACAACAGCAATTGGACGGGGAACAGCTCCCGCCACTCCTGCGACGATAGCGGCCATGAAGGCCGTCCCCTCGAAATCGGCCGCAACGCCCCGAAAAACTGGGAGGTGCCAATGCGGCGGGATCCACAACCCCCTCCAACCCCCTC